GGCCGGGGGGCCACCCGGGGGCAGCGGCTCCCCCGGGCGTGGGGACACGGGGTGGCACCGATGTCCGGCCGTGTCCTCGCTGTCCCCAGCCCTGTCCCCAACCCACCCCCCTTTCCCCACTGTGTTCCGTCCTTGTCCTGTCCCCATCCCCTTGTGTCACCCTTGTCCTTTCCCCCTCATGTCCCTGTCACTTCCCCTGTTGTGTCCCTGTCCCCCTCCTGCCCCTCCTCTTCCTCTCGTGTCCCTGTCCCCGCAGTGTCCCTGTCCCCTCCCGCCCGGGGCTCTGGGGCCGGGTGGTGGCGGTGCCCCCTGGCGCCGCGGCCGTTAATTATTATTATTATTATTGTTATTATTGTTATTATTATGATGATTCAGAAGAGCCACCAGGATGTTGGTAGTCAATAGATACACTGATGTTCAGCTTCACCTTAACATGTCACAGACAGCTGTGGCTGCATTTCAGCTGTGTGCACCACCTAATTATCCATAAAGATCTGAATTTTTAATTTCTCTCCCCATTACAAAAGCTTCTACTTCAGCATTTCCCCGCACACATTTTTCTCACAGACTTATAAGACATATTCGTACCAGGACAAAGACAGCAGAAGCAATATATACCCTACCCCGATATTTTGTCTTCTTTTCTTTTTTTTTCTCCTGTGTGAAAGGAAATGAGCAGAAGATCATACTTCGTATCCACCTAAAAGCTATTTTTTTCCCTAGATTTTATATGCAACTTCATGAATGTGAAACTGCTTTAACATGTTTTTTTATATGTGCTCTGTGATGAGGAAGGTGTTTTACTTTATGATTATATATGCTTATATGAATCCTGAGCTGAATATTTTTGGTACTTAGTTATTCACTTGTAGTTCTAGTAAATTTATTTTGAAATAGATTGTATGTTGTTCAATTTGATTAAGTTTCTTTGTTTTCTCTTGTCTTTTGACGCGATTCTGTCGTGATTCTTTTTTTTTTCCAGCAACTAGAAAAATATATATCCTAAAATTCTAAAGTTTAAGGTCTTTTTATGCTAGTATTTCTTCCTTTTCTTTTTAAATCATTATAGCAGTAGTCTGAAGGGGAAAGAGCACGTACCAAATAGAATAAAAAGATACTAGGAAAAGGGAGCATGATTCTGATGGGTATCAGTGGGAGGATGAATAATCTCTAGGTAGAGTATTAGGTTTGGGGACACCCGGGCCCTGTCCCCAGGGTAACGGGAGCCCAAGGCCGGTGGCGTCACCGGGGGGACGCGGGGGTGGCCCCAGGGCCACCGCGGGGACAGAGACGCTGCCACCGCCAGGGCGAGGAGCGGGGACACGCGTGTGCGAGGGACGGGTACGGGGAGCACACGTGTGTGCAAGGGACGGGTATGGGGAGCACACGCGTGTGCAAGGGACGGGGTAGGGGGAGCACACGTGTGTGCAAGGGGCTTTGCACGGGGGACAAGCGTGTGCAAGGGATGGGTATGGGGAGCACACGCGTGTGCAAGGGACGGGTATGGGGAGCACACCCGTGTGCGAGGGGCTTTGCATGGGGGACATGCGTGAGCAAGGGACGGGTATGGGGAGCACACGCGTGTGCATTGGGCCTTGCACGGGGAGCACACGCGTGTGCACTAGAGTCGCTTGGGGCCTTTGCACACGCGTGTGCCCGGGGATCACGTCCCCCCCCAGCCCCATGGCTGCCCCCCGGACC